TCTCTGAATAATCTGTTGTTATAGTGAAATTGTTTAAAGATAATTGTATTCATGACCCCAAAACAGCACATATTTATAATACAATGTTACTAATCCAAGTGTTATAGTATTTTTTTTTTCTTAATTACTCATAAATTTTATCTAAATTTAAATTTGCATACATATATTGGGTGACGTGCTATGTATGTTAATAAAGAAAATAAGTTTTGAACCTTCCACTAGAATTATCCCAAATTGCTAGTAATATCAATTCTTAAAAAAGTGCATATCAATTTTTTCACTAAAATATTAATGAGAAATTTAAGTGTAAATATGGTGTAAAATTGAGAAAATTAAACCATATATTAAAAATATTTATAAATATATTATTTGAAGTTTTTACTTATTATAAATATTAGAATTTGACTTAGATTTCATTGTTGTTTATAGGATTCATCAAGTATATATTAAAAATATTAAAAATATTATAAATATACGATGTTGGGGGATAAAGATAAAAATAAAACAAACAAATAGTAATGATTAAGTTTTTTAAAGAAATAGGACTGGTTGATAATGATTTAAATAATAATAATTAATAACTCTTTAAAGAAAGAGGATTATAATGATTTAGATGGTAAAATAATTTTTTTTGTTAAAGTAATTTTTCAATATTAAATTCTATACAGTGAATAGAATAAAAAAGAGTACACACTACTCTTAAAATTAATATCGTTGAATATCATTACATTGAAAATATTGTTGTTTTTTTAACATGAAACCTAAAAAGAAAATCGAAGGCATAAAATGTTTTAATCTTAACTTCTAGTCATGTGAAATTATTGTATCGAAATAAATAATAGCTGAAGGTTAATAAAGTTTCCATTTTATAGACAACTTCGATGTTTTGATCATAAATTCATTGAAATAACAACAGTTAAAATCAATTGCATAATTTATATAAACACGAAATTAAAATATTATCTAGCTAAGAGAATACTAATTTCCCATAGCTTGCAAAATAGCTGTGATAACAATATAAAATTCGTAAATCAAGGAATGTCTTTTACATTCTCAAGTAGAATGCTACAAATTTAGGATATTAGTTTGTTGTCATCGTGTGTTGTTTTTAATTTTGAGAAACTGAATTACCGTTTGATAGGAAAAAAAACAATATATACATACTTCAAACAAATATATAAGTTTTATTTATGTTGACATTATAGTTTAACACTTGAAAAATAGTTTTATTTCTGTTTAAGATATTCTAACTTAGCACATAAAAGAGTTTTAAAACGGTATTATTGGTTGAGGAATTAGTCCGAAATTAATAAGAGAAATGCCATGAGGCTCAAAATTTCTTAATAATTGTAGATATTTTTAAAATTACACAAAATATAAATTAGTTACTACCTTAATTACAAAAAATGTTTTAGGAAAATATATATAAATTGTAAACCTTAATTTAGTATATCATCTTATTAATTAAAACATTATATAATTGATAAAAAGCATATATAAGTATATTAGATATATACAATTTAATTATTTTAATATTAACCTTTAGTGAATCAACGTTTTGAAACTTAAATATATATTTTAATTATTACATTATTTTCAATATTTATTATACCTTTTTCATTTTTTATATAATTTGAATTAAAAATGCATTACATATTAAAGTAATAATTTATTACGTAATATTATTAAAAATATACATTAAAAAAATGTAAAAAATAGTATAATATTATTTTCTTAAAATATAAAAAATTATGATTCTAAAAATATAAAAATACTAAAAGTTTTGATTATTTTTAAAAATTTAAATTTTAACTAAGAGTGTCAAAGTGAGTCAATTAAATTTACAATGACTCACCACAACTCAACCACTTTTTGGTGAGTCATAAATTTTGTAATCGAACTCAACCTACCATAGTCAGATAATGAGTTGGCTCACTTACAAATGTTTTATTTTTATAATTTTTGTATATATTCATTGCAATACAAGTAAATAGACTTGATTTATTTTTTTAACAATAAAATCAAAGTGTTCACCTAAACTCTAAATGTTATTATAAATGTAATATGTAAAGATTAAAGTATCAACATATATAACTTAAAAACAAATAAATTAAATCCAAGTTATTCAAACTTAATTTAATAACATTATAGTTTATAAAAAAAATCAAATTGTGAATCTATATAATATAATTATAAGTTGTAAATAAAAACTGTAAATAAATTAATAAACCTCGTGTCGAAGTATAGACATCATCTTGAGCGTTAGACGAGACATTGATGGGTGGTCTGATAACGGTCTGATAGTAGTGGGTGGAACAACATGCCCAACAAACAACGAATATCGCTAGGATAGTCTCTAACCATAACTTTGATATTATGTTAAGAAGTGGACTTTAAGCCTAACTCAACCCCACAAAACCGGCTTGTAGGTGAGGTTTGCACCCACTTATATATTATAAATTGGCCTTATCTCTAATCGATGTGAGACTTCCAACAAATATTGCTGCTGAAATTGTGTTTTGGGTAATAAGTTAGAATACTGGTTGAAATTGATATATAATTAGTAGGTTGACATGTAAAGTTATGGGGGGATTACTCATCGAGTGAGCTTGAATTCATGTTGTCCCAAGAGGTACTTAGCTTCTTATTTTGTTGAAATTTGGTCTTTGATATCCTAAGTTGTTGTTTGGGCTTGTGGTGGTTGTTGGTTTAATTTGATGGACCGAGTAACTGGCCAGTTGAGCAAATTGGTATTCAATATGATATTTAAACATGTTTTCAAATCAATTTTAGAGTCAAGAATACCAATTTGGTCATTTGGATAGGTTTTTAGTGCAATCGGATAAAGAATCAAAGTTATTGGTTTCTAGTGTGATGATGAGCGTTACAAAGTTAGAGAGCCTCTAGGCTCCAAGGTGCTGAGCGACCATTTTGGACGCTGAGCACTGCAAAGTTAGAGAACTCCTGTATTGTGTGGCGCTAAATGACATTTTTGGGCGTTGAGCGTCATTTCTTCTTTGCAGGTTTGAAACCTTTCCTCTGTAATTCATTGGGCGACAATGTGGGCTCACTAGGCAAGCATGGTTGCGTGAGCACTAGTGTTGAGCATCAGAAATGTGTGTTGAGCGCTCCCTACTTCTAAGCCATTGCGTGTTTTTGTGTTTTTTCTGACTTTTGCTCTCTTTGAATTAAGTCACTTGGGATTTTATGCATGTGTATTATTATATTAGTGATGATTCATGGGTTGAAATCTAAATATGAGTAGGTATGGTGTTTATTCACACATGATACGGTGTTTATTCAATTATGATATGGTAATGATGTTGAGTTCATGATAAAGAATGTGCATGGTATTTGTGTTTGACGTAATTTCAGGAATCTATTGAAGAAATCTATGGTGGTGTTTACTAGTGTAATGTATTGATATAGAAACTCTGAAATGGGAGACGATTATGACACTCTTAATAACTTCTCATCTCAAGTAGAAAATGACGGTTATGTCATAAAGAGTAGCAAGAGGTTCTTATTGTGATGGTAATGTATTAGCCATATATGTTTGACAAATTAACCTCAGTGTATGGTAGTTTGTTACGGGCGAGTTGTTTCACCACACATGTGACAGGTCCCCCTAGAGTTCGACATCAATACATGTATTCAGACGATCAAGTCTATAAATGATCGTATGTCCTAGGATTGATTGATTTATTTGTGTTATATGCTTACTTTTATAAAGGTGAAGTATGCTTGTTTTTTATACATTAACTTATCTTTTCCTTACTGTTTGTCTGTCCATGTATTATTTCTTATTTGCAATGATCACTTTAATAGTGTAAGCAGATGAAGATCTTCTAGTCGATCCACTATAGGATGGGAGTGATGCTAAAATATAAAGTAAGATGTTTAGTTTTAGTGTATATTGTTTTTTTTTTGTAAAACTTAATTATGGTTTTAGTTTTTGTGTAATAGTATTCATAGAAGTATAGAATTTTACATGAATATGTTCAATTACTGTTATGGAAAAGATAACTATAATAGGTTTTTGTATATATTTTTTAATAAATTTTTACTCTTTCATTCCTTCCTAGATGATGTTTCTTTTGGTAGTAACATACTATTAAAATAGAATATTACATTATCCATCTTTTTAATCTTTTTTAATCTTTAATTATCTTCTTGAAGTTTAATTACTTTATTGTTTCTTCTTTTTCTATTGATTTTTTTCTTGAATTCTTCCACACAAATTTTTTTTTCTTGAATTTTTTTTTCTTTTGAATTTTTTTCTTCAATATTGTTTCGACATACATTAGTTATGCACCACATAATTAACACAAGAGATTAGTGAGACACTCAAAAAATTTAACTAAGTGCATAGAGAACTCAAACAACTCAATAAGACATTCAGAGAGTTCCGCTAAGTGCATGAAGAACTAAAATAGTTCGAATAGACATACAAAGAGTTCAATAAAGTGCATGGAGAAGTCAGATAGCTTGACAATACATCTCTAATGCTAAGTAACATGCATCAAGAAGTCAAATAGCTCGGTAGGAAGTCTAGTCAGCTTGTAAGATACATTGATAACTCATATAGTTCGGTGAAAAGTCCACATTGTTCAATCTAACTTGCCGAACTCTCCAAATATTTGATCAAGCGATTTAACTTTTCAATACATTTTACCAAACTTTTCGGATATCTTATCAAATTATTTGAGTTTTCTATACATTTAATCGAATTATCTAAATGTTTTACAAAATTATTTAAGTTCTCCACACTTTTAGTTGAACTCTGATAATATTTTATAAACCTCTTAACCTCTTCATTATATAATTACAAATTTTTACATTATATATTTGTATTTTGCCACATTAACTCACTCTAAGAAAATTAAAGACAAATATTTATTAATGCAAATTAATAAATTTGGAAATTGACACAAAATTAAAAGGTGTAAAAAGATAACACTCTCCCCCAAACTATTTTTTTTTCTTTTATTTGGACCACTAACTGACAGACACGTTATTGTTGCTGGCGTTTGAACTTCAAAGCGGCGAAGTGAAAGCACATTTCATCCCGTATCTTCTTCTGCCATGAGTTCCCAACCTCTGTCACCAAGCAATTTCAGGGATCTCTTCGATTCCGTGGAAGCTTTTCTCTTCGATTGCGACGGTTGGTGACTCTGAAACATTCTTCTCAGCTACTTTCAATTCCATGTATTGAATCATTCCATCTCGCACTCTTGAATTAGGTGTGATTTGGAAGGGCGATGAACTCATCCAAGGCGTTCCGCAAACTCTCCAAATGCTTCGCTCCAAGGGAAAGAAGCTCATCTTCGTCACCAACAATTCCTGGAAGTCGCGCTCTCAGTACGCTCAAAAGTTCCAATCCTTAGGAATTTCCGTTTCGCAGGTTCTCTTGTCTTCTCTTTCATTCGCTTACGATTTCGACTTCGATGTTCGATGAATTCTTTTTGTAATCTTGTTCTTTTTTCGTTCCCCAGGACGAGATATTCTCCTCGTCGTTTGCAGCTGCTATGTACTTGAAGGCCAATGATTTCCCTTCCCAAAACAAGGTTCCAAAGTCATAGTTTCTTTTATTTTAATATCTTTTCGCGGGATTATTAGTTACTCGTGAATGGAGAATGTTCTTGGTGCTACTGTGTGCCATACACACAGAGTCCTAAATTGACTAGGAGTTGAAGTCAAGGTAGTTTATAAGCCTTTGTTCTATTAATTCACCAATGCACTTTTAAAAACTGTATGGCACACACGAGAGTTAAAGTCGACAATATCTACAATATGATGAACATGGAAATGTTGCAGACTTGACATCACACCATTTAAACTATGAGGAGGCATAGGCCATACACGTGTGAGCCTAAAGGCCCCTACCCCTGACTGGGGCCTCTACTGTTTTGGTTCACAGAAAAAGTCTTACAGTACTTAAGTACCGGGACTTGACCGAGGGTCATTGCTAAACGCCTTTGTTCCCTAAACAACGAGGCTCTTCTCAAGAACAAGACCATGAGCTCTACATAACAGACAGTTGATTCTGTTAACTTACATGTAGAAACTCTCTCAGATTAATATCTCCAAAAGTTTTTTTTTTTTTTTACTTCTTTGAAAAGATAAACACGCTAAGTACCACTGTGGAATAATGACATCCCTACTAAGTTGCCATGCTATATTGAACTAACTTACTCAAGCTAATTTCAGTGTTTGGAAAAACTTATTTCATTTTTTGTCTTATTCTCTTCTCTTTTCAGTACCTGTAGAAAATGTTATATAAACAATACCCGTGATGTAGTGATTGGTGAGTATGACAAGGTTGCAGAGTTAAAGCTCAAACATTAAAATCTGTAATAGAACTTATGATTGATAGCAGACTATTATCATATAGAGTTGGTGAATGAGATGGAAGCATTCATTCCGTTTTTATATCTTACATCAATAGCATTTTATTCATGTGTATCTCTTTCACAATTAGCAAAAGTTTGACATGTTAATTTGTAGAATACTCGGCAATTTGAAATTTTCTTGAATGATATTAAAGAAAATAGTATTCTAAAAAACTCAGAATTTAAGGAACTGTTTTTCTTAGTTGGAATGATAAATGATGCATTGTTTTGTTGTGTTTCCCGATTTTCAAATATGGTTTCAAATCAGGGATGATGGAAAACTGAATCCATGTTGAACGATCATCAAGCTTTATATACAAAGCACATTTGGTGGTGACTGATGATTAACGGCTAGGCTGACTGAAATAGCACTAAACTGACTTGACATTGAATGGTTGCTAATTAATTAAAACAAAACCAGGGTGATGATTTCTTACCGCAGTGAAAACATAGAATATTTTCTTCACATTACATTTTCACTTTCCTCTCATTAGACTTTTGCCTTCATAGTAAATCACCCGTTTGCATACAGTTATGTGATAATTTTTTCTATTGGTGTTCTTTATTTCAGGTTTATGTGATTGGTGGGGACGGTATACTGGAGGAGTTGCAGCTTGCTGGCATTACAGCGTTTGGTGGACCAGTAAGTTGTGAATTTATGAGTTATAACCTTTCTCCCTCTTTCTCTTTTTCCCTCATTGAAATTGAATTCATGTTGTCCCAAGAGTTACTTAGGAGCCTCGCCTTGCTGTTCCACTAGGCTAGTTTTCTAGTTCATGTTCTCTTTTTGCTTGTAAAGTTTGTTGGTTTGGATGATTATTCACCTTGATTGAGTTGAAACGACTTGTGGATAAACAAGTACTTGTGCTTGTGTTATTTTTGAAAAGGAAACCCTTACACTAATGTTTGGTTCAAGTGATCATAGTCAAGTCTATTATTAGGCTACGTTTTCTTAAAGGCAATGCATACTTCAAGCAAAACAATAAGAGAGGGATGTGAATCACATGATTGTGACATAAGTTATTCTCGCTAAAGCATTCGTTGGTGCAGGAAGATGCAAATAAAGCGATAGACCTGACGCAGAACTGCTTTGTTGAGCATGATAAGAGTGTAATGACACCTTGCTCATTTTTAATTTGTTACTGAATATCTTCATTGAGATCGGTGCTTGCAGTTAACTGATGGGTTTCTTTCAGGTTGGCGCTGTAGTGGTTGGTATAGACCCAAACATTAACTATTACAAGCTTCAGTAAGAGTATCTATTCCTTTCCTCTTTTATTTAAAATTGTACATTCTGGTTCATATTTCCTCTGACTCGTGCCTCATACACACACCAATCTAATTATAATTTATGTACAGGATAATTAAAGTAACAAAAAAATCCCTATATATCTGCTAAATGTATCTTATCCCTTTACATCAACCTAATCAGATCATATCTTCAATAATCAAATCTTATCTTCAAAAGTTTGAGCATATATGTCATATGTGCCAAGCTTGTTACAAATATGATTAATATGAGACCCCTTGACAGATTTTTGGAACATGTCTGCCAGCTGGTTACTAAAGCTAACAAAAATCAATAGTGATTTTTGCTGAGAACACTTCCTCACAAAATGACAGTCTATCTCTCTGTATTTAATCTGTTCATGGAAGACTGTATTAGAAGCAATATGACAAGCAACTGATTGCAGATAAGCTTAGTGCCCTGAATCTCCCCCAATTGGGGCTGCTGAAAGAGTTGTCATTGCCGTGTATTATCGCTTGCAGCTTCTGCCATGACATGATATTTGGGTTCAACAACTGATTTGACAACTATATTGTGTTTCCTGCTCCTCCTTGAGCGTAAAATACCTCCAATAAGAAAACATTAGCCTGAAGTGGATTGTTTGTATGATGATAATTCTGCCTAATTTGCATTAGAGTAACAATCAATTCAGGAATTGGCTTTGTTCTCATATAAGCATTCGGGACCTAGTGCGTTCTTGATGTAACAGAGGATGCACATGACGACATTCCACTGACTATCACAACAGAGGATGCACATGACGACATTCCACTGACTATCACAAGGGACATCGAGGAATTGACTTACTACATAATGTGACATTGGTCCTAGTGCCTAAGGTCATTGAGTCAGCCAATGACTCTACAATACCTTTTTGGGTTTTCCAAGGTTCCCTTTGCTCGAAAGAATTTTAAGATGAGGATCCATAGGGGTATCACTAGGACAACACCCAAACATGCTAGTCTCAATGAGGATATCCAAAGCATATTTCCTTTGGGAAATGACAATCTTGAAGTAGATTGAGCAACCTCAATACCCAAAACATATTTGAGAAATCAAAGATCTTTTATTTGGAACTCATTTTTGGATGAGACATCAGTCCGTTGATACACCTCAAAACCATCTGCCATCAAGATATACCACCAAATAAAAACATATGCTAAAAATGAAGATTGGAGGAAGAAAATCGAGTGATCAACTTTGGAACAAGTCATACCAAACTGAACTAGAGCCGAGCTAAAATGAGCCAACTAGGCACGGGGAGATTGCTACGAGGAGATTGCTTCAATATATAAAGTAGTGTCACAAGTGACAAACAAAATGAGAGCCACTAGAAACAGTAAATATTGGGGGTTGATCCATGTAGACCATTTCCTGTAGCTCACCATGTAAGAATGTAGTTTTAGTAATCTAATTCCTTAAACTGCCAACCACAGATAACAAACACGGCAAGAAAATAGATTAACCAAAGTAATTTGAGTATAGCCTTTCTCCATCAGACAAGCTTTGAACTGATCAATATTACCATCCAATCCAACCTTGATTGTATAAACCCTACGACAGCCAATAGTAGTATTGCCTGGAGGTAATTGGACCATCTCCCATATGCCACTGGTATGTAAAACAATCATGTCTTCAAATACCATTTGTCAACAGGATTAGCCTTACCTTCACCTATAGACTTGGGAATAAACACAAAATCCAAAATAAAGGACAAATAGAAAAGAGATCAGTTATAACATGGAAAAATGCAAAAATATTTAGGATTGAAGTTTGATCCCTTGTTCTCTCTATCTTTTTCTTTTCTTTTGCAATTATTGTCCTTCATGGTGAGTAATATGTTTGGCATTTCATCGGCACACCCCTCTCATCATGGATGCTTACTTTTGGCAACCCCGGTGCCACCAATCGCTCATCCATATGTTACCACTATGTAAACCAAACAGGTCTTTGTCCGCATGACATGCTTCGTGCAAAACCATTTTCCAGAGTGATCCACCATTCGATGATAGTTATATAAAGTGAAATCCTTGAGAAACAAAAAGGGTTAGGATCTTCTATAATTATGTTAGTTACCTCTAAGTGAGGGAAGTATGTCATTTTATCCTTTAAGAGTGGTAAGATCTTTGTGGTCAGATCTTTAGAGGACTTTAGTTGATAACAATTTGTTTACACTAAAGCTTTGTATGGATTATGGATTATTTGTAGACTGTTGAAATGTCTAATAAGTTCATAATACTGTGAGAATGATTTAATAAACAAACTACATTTTTTGAGTACACTAATGATGTGGTAAGAGGTTTTTTAGTTAATTAACCCAAAGCAGAATAACTAAGAATAGGCTTTTGCATATAATGTTTTGTTTATGTTAGTACAAAATAGGTGAATAAAATCATCAAAATCTTATATTTATATATGCCAACATTATCTTATTTTTTAGCAACGTGTACTTAATTACTTGCATTTTTAGTTGTTAGATATTTGGATATTTCAATGTCATCTGGTAGGTACGGAACCCTTTGCATACGAGAAAATCCAGGATGCCTTTTTATTGCCACCAACCGTGATGCAGTTGGACATATGACAGCTTTGCAAGAATGGCCTGGTCCTTCTTTCAACTCCATTTTACTCTTAAACAGTGTAGAATTAGTATGTAACTTGATTTTATGTCCTCATAATTGATAAAACTTGGATTTCAGGTGCAGGGTGTATGGTTGCTGCTATATGTGGATCAACCCAGAAGGAACCTGTTGTGGTAGGGAAACCATCAACCTTTATGATGGAGTTTTTACTTAAGAAGTAAGAAAGTTAAATGCTTAAATGTCTTGGTATTTCCGGAATGTTATCTTTTATGTTATAGTTTTCTCAGCATATATAACTTAATCTTTTTTGGAAGATTCAACGTAAGTTGCTCCAAGATGTGCATGGTGGGTGATAGACTAGATACTGATATTTTGTTTGGACAAAATGCTGGTTGCAAAACACTTCTAGTTCTTTCAGGTAATGGGGTTGTCTTTTTCTGTATATATGTTACCAGAGAAGTCGTTCATAACATATATTGCGATCATTTTTATTGTGGAAACAAACAGGTGTCACAACTCAATCAGCTTTACAGGACCCTTCAAATAATATTCAACCTGATTACTATGCAAATACAATTTCTGACATGGTTGACTTATCAAAAGTATGAATGGGTTCTTCCCAATTTAGACATTCTTTTATACCAATATCGTGAGCTATGCTCCACATAGAACACTGTTCTATTTAATTTTTTCACAATCTAATTATAGCTTATATCTGGATCTCTGTTACATCACTTCGTTGTCGGGTGGTTTGCACCAAGCATTAATGGAAGAGATATTGGTTGCTCTCCTTTGCGAAGCAGAACTATTTTATAATTGCACTGTATACTCATTTCTTCACGACGAGGGGAAATTACTCGTTCTGGTATTTCAATAAATAAGACATTGTAATGCAAATTTTTATATTTCCAATGCTGCAGTACTTCATTTAAATTACCAGTTTGGCTCTGTTGTATAACTGTATGGTTTATTCATTCACAGTCTCAGTAGGGTAGCTCATCCAAGAGGGTTCATTGGATTCAAATTCAGATGCTTTAGAAACTCCAACGTTAAGTATTAGATATGCTTGGATAAAGCCACGTTAAGTCATTAGGGAACAAGGGCCAACGTCGCATAAGACTATAAAAAGTTATCCACTACAAATATCTATTCATGTTGCAAAAAGTAAGCAGCATAACAATTCTATCTAAGCCTAGTATAGGAGGATAGAAGGACTATAGTAAAAAAACTTAATAAGCAATCATATATCCGCATAAAATGGATTATGCTATTAAGTATCACTGGCAAGATGTTCCGTCCCACACCAACACTTCATTATGACTTGTCTCTTTTAAACGTGCCAACCTCGAACTATAGAAGTTTCCAAATGAACAAACACAAACATCTGGGTGGTCTACCATCATGAATAGTGCTCAGATTGAATTTGGAAGCTACCTTGCCAATTCAGGTGGTACAGGACTATTACTTGGAATAGGCATGTGATATTTTGGTCCTGATGGTGGCAGGTTAGGTGAAGTCTTATCAGAAAGATGACTCTTCAGGTTTTAACCCCGAAATTTTTGGTAAAATTCAGTTGGATACACTCCACTGTCACAAACATCACTCTGATCATTTCAACATTCACATGCTTGCCATGGTTTGGTTTCATGATATGAGCCACGTCAGGAATGGCAACATAAGTTGTAACTGGGACATCATACATGTCATGATACTAAATCCTTCGAGATCAATATCCTTATTTGTAGAAATTCTTAGTGGGTGATTATTTTTTTTACGTATTATAATTTGTAATTTTTTCTGATTTAATAATATAAGTTTTCATTGTTCTCTTTCAGTATATTTTTCAGTTCGTTTATGTTCATTTTTGTTCCCTGTTAAAAGAATTATGCTTTCTTATAAACTACCAATATTCTCTCCTCTTCTTCACATTAAACCAATCTCTTGAGCATAAGTATTTTCTTACCTTCCTTCAATACACATACCAATATTCTGTCCTCTTCTTCACATTGAACCAATCTCTTGAGCATAAGTATTTTCTCAACTTCCTTCAATGCACATATTGGACCATGGTGGCCCAATGTATCTAAATGGGATCATGGCCCAATAGTAGCCACATTCTAGATGAAAAAAAAAAGAGAAGGGTTGTGTGTTTTGTCGCATCTGGAAAAATATTCTCAGGCTGTGCTGTGTCAGAATAATTGACTTGTTACACTCCCGCATCCCTCGGCTGTGACACCAATCAACATTGATACAGGTTTGATGAGGTTCTACCGTTACTCACTTCACATGCTGTCAAACTATATTTTACATAAAATATTTAATATCTGAATATTTGATAACTAACAACATTGAACTTCACTCCTCCATGACTCAGCCATGCTGTAAAAAATCCATCCTTCCAATGAAAAAGATAAGAACAGCTCTTAAACTGAGTAATCCACATATCATAATTGGTCCACATATTTTTTTTCTTTCTAGACAATTTACAGGTGAAGGATGTGAATGATGATAAGTATGAGAAAGGTTCCTCAAAGGAAAAGGTTGGACCATTTAGCCATGCCAAAACCTTGAGTTGTGTGTGCCTTGTTAATAGGTTACAGGCTCACAGTAGCAGTCAAATTTTTATCCAACCAATCGCCAAAGCCAAAATTTTAACAGTTCCTTTGGTGGTGTAGATTTTGACATCAAAAGAAACTAAAAAGTAAAGCTAAAAGTGAAGCTAGCAGCCAAATCCTATATATCCAATGCTTTTCTTAAAAGCTTTTTCTGCTTGGTGAGACTATCAAACTCTGAATCATCAGACTCTCCCGCTTGAAGGAATATATTCCCTTCTACCAGTAAAACAAAAAACAATTCAAACTTTGCCCAGACCCATATATTTTTAACAAAATAACTATATATGTAAATTATGTTGAGGGGCCCAAGACTCACATGCATGCCACATGTTAAAATCTCATTGTACTGCTCCTTCCATTTGGTAGCTGTTCTTATTATATCAGTGTCTCAGTGATATTTAATCATAGAAAGTATAATAATGAGTTTAATATGAGTGAGGAGGAGAGGACCACTGCATGAAACTGCTAGTTTTTATTCAAAATACAGAGAGCTGCATGTGGGCATGGGGTAAGTAAGTAGCTCGCAACTCTATGCATGGAACTCAGATCTGCTTTTTTCTTCTCTTATATTTAATTTTCCCTTTGCATTCTTATGCATTTTTTTAGTATTCCCCTATATTGTTTCATAGCCTCAGAGGAAAATCGAAACCAGGGTTAATAGAAACATATGCAAAGGTTTCCTCAACTTGCATGGTTTGGAAAGTCACAAATAATGCCCTAAAAAGGTCAAAAAGTGTTATATCGTCACACAATGTTATATCTAAAGACCATGTCGGTTTCTGAGACAGTGATTGAAGCCGTTGGTTGATTATTAGTTCTCAATTAACTACAACTCCAAAATTGTTTTAATGAAAGTGAAGTATAAAATCATGATAAATTCGGTTTTAAGAGATTAAGTTAGGTTTAAAATTCACTTATTAATATGACATTAGAGTCAGATTAAAACCTGTTTTAACAAAATTTGTATGAACATATTATTTCACCTACTATCAGACTATTCATTAATATCTAGTCTCATGCTCAAAATATATATATATATATATATATATATATATATCGGTATAAAGAGGTATGTTAGAAGTTTTACATCGTCTAAAAATAAAATTAATTAAAAATATATAATAAGGGGATAGAGACCTTACATTAACTGTTACCATAATCTCATTGGTCGGAATAAAACTTCATTTTTTTTTTCTTTGGTAGAATTTCACTGAAATTGTAATTCCTACAAATGAAAGAGAAAGAAGACGACCGGCCTACGTTTCACGACTATTCATTGCTCAATCTCTACATTGGAATTCATGAAGTTGTTATATAGCAGTCATGTTTTAAAACTATTTGGAGCAGTGAGTTAATATAAATCACTATAGCTGGAGTTGATAACTTTGACTAGAATAAACAAAACCAAATAGTTCAATCAATCAATATTACTTTAAAAGAAAAAATTCCGAAGTGAAATTTATATATATATATATATATATATATATATATATTCTCAAGATGCAACTGAAAATGCAAAAGCTGACACTATTTTTGTATATGAGAAAAGTTGTCTTAGTTTGGTTCCACTGAGTCTTAACACGCCACACGTTTCTAAACCTAGAAAAATAAAAGGCAAGAAAAATGTTATGATGATTCAACATTTTCCACAACCAAAAAAGCCTAGACAGAAAAGGATAAAACTGAGGGAAATAATAAAGTTTGGTTTGACCCGGGAAAAAATATTTTTAGGGGGAATGGTCTATAAAAAAGAGGAAAGCAACTGAGAAAACAAAGTGTCTGTTTGAGAGGGGGAAAGGACCAAAGAAGCGTGGAGTGCTTTTATTTTGGGACCAAACTTAGCTAACATTTTGTGGAATCAAATTCCAAAACACTCTAATCCTAATGTTAACTCAACCTTCTTTTTATTGCCCCCATGTGGCTATTTCTGAATGACTCTAGACAAGACACAAACCAAGAACCAAAAAGGTCTCCACCACACCACCAATCAAACAAAACCATGGTAAAAATTTCAAGTCACACTTCAAACTTCATTTGTTGTCGTTTTTAGACACTTAGATTCTCAGCTCCGTGTTCAGATTTTTCCAATTTGGTTAGCAATGCCTCATACGTAACTACTGTCTGAAAAACATCATAGCAGGAAAAAAATACAATATCATGAAAGAAAAAGTCTAGAAAGAAAAAGAAAACACTTCGTTGATGTTTGAAGTGGACATTTTTGGTCATATAGTAGATAAGATATATGTTATATACTAGGGCCATGTATATGGACTGACAAGTGTCACTTCTGTGGTGGTTATTTAAGTGATACCTCTCAAGAAATTTACACTCTTTTGAAAACCCTTGTTCAAATTTTTTAAGAGTTGCTGATATTTTGCTTGGCTCTGGTGCTTGCACATCTCACTGTGGCTGTCAAAATAAGATGTGTTTGTGGATGTGCTTTTGGGAAAGAGATATTTGGATTACAGGAATCAGAAAAGAAGATCAAAATCAAATTTTTTTGATTATTTATTATCTGGGTGGTGTTCATATGTGAGAAAATGAATTCCAACCACCTCCATTGTTATTCTTTATGAGATTTCATACTCAGTTGGGACCTTATACAGTTGTACTCATCTCCAGAAAAACAAAGACCTAAAGCTCCATCTACTTGCACACACACTAATGAAACCAGTATGAGGGAAAAGTTATTAATTAATGCAAGCTCTTTGTATATATATATTTCTCTTTCTGAATTGGTGACATAAAGAACAGAAAAGGGATTAAGTGATCCTTGTGTGATTCCTTGTCCCATCATAGGAATTGCATTTAGAAACTGGGCCCTGCTTGCCAAGTATTATTACAAACCTGCAATGAATGAATGAGATGAACATATGTTAATTAATATTATTATAAGTCATGTTTTAATTTTAGAATGAGATTATACATAATGTATATGATGATTATGTGATTCTTAATAAGAATATGGGGTGAGTGATTGAGTGAGTTTGGTCCACCAAAAGTTATTATAGGGTGGATGATTCAGTAATACACCTCTATTTTTCATTGGATCATCCAAACATTCCATGAACCGTTGGTCCATTACTTGGTGATTTTATTGACTGCAGAGGAAAGTAGCACCCATTTTAGGTAACCAAAAATCTTCATGTCGGCTTAAGTGATGGGAATTTGTATTTCCATCAAATGAACAATGCCAACATAATCATAATAACAATTATTGTCTATAGGAAGTTTATTTATTATTCCCTTCATTCTTTTTCCTTTAATTTTGCTTCTCATGTTTTCATTTTTATCTTA